GCACTTATAAGCTGCCCCAAACGGGCCCTTATTCTATCATCATGTATATATTCATTGACCACCTGGCATCCATGCTAAAGATTTTTTCAAGAGTGAATTAACTTAGGCTTCATACAATACAATATATAATATAGATATTTATTTATTTTTTAGACCTTTGTGAGGGCACATGTATACTATGATGTATAAATAAGAGGTTAAAGGGGATAAACTGAATGCTCAAACTGTCCCAATCTAAAAATTTCAGAGCTCCCTTCCATCTTCTTCACAAGGTTTATCCCAAATTGTAAGGATTCAACATATAAGTAGGAATGTTTGGAATGCTATGTACCTAAAAATCCTTCAAAATAACATTTTAATTTGAGGACGCGTATATCATTTTACATGTATTCAAAAGCATATTTGAAGATCAATAAAATCATTTCTGAGACAGATTATTAATAGAAACGACAGGCAGCAGACACAAGATCGCGGAGAAAGCCGAGCAGCAACGAGGCGCCCTCGCTGAATAACGTTCAACACTTCATCCCCGACAGGTGTTCGGAGTCATCGTTCCCACGCGCGACAAATCCGGAGGAGCTTATTTCGTCGTATAAATGGCTGAGATGGCCGGAGTAGCTCCCGCCACGGCGGCGGCTGCCCCCGATCCGGACGGCTTTGACGGAGTTCGCATGACCTGGAACGCCTGGCCTCGATCCAAGATTGAAGCGAGCAAGTGCGTGATCCCTGTCGCTGCATCGATCGCCCCGATCCGCTCCTTTCCGGACCTTGTCGTCCTTCCCTATTCCCCTCTCCGCTGCAAGAGTCCTTGCTCAGCCGTCCTCAACCCTTTTTGCCGTGTCGATTTCCCCTCCAAAATATGGATCTGTCCCTTCTGCTTCTCTCGAAACCATTTTCCACAGCACTATGCGGCCATCTCCGAGACCAATGTTCCCGGCGAGCTCTACCCACAGTGTTCCACCGTTGAGTACGCCGGCCCTCCGCTTGTTTCAGGCGGTGGACAATCGGCGGCGCCGATGGCGCCCACGCCGCCGCCCCCCATTTTTCTCTTCATCCTCGATACATGCGTGATCGAGGAGGAGTTAGGATTCGTCAAGTCGGCCATGCGGCGTGCAATCGGACTTCTCCCGGAGAATGCTCTTGTCGGGCTCATCACCTATGGCACCCAGGTCTATCTCCACGAGCTCGGATTCTCTGATCTTTCCAAGCTGTACGTCTTTCGGGGGACTAAGGACATCTCCAAGGAGCAGATTCTTGATCAGCTAGGGCTCTCGGCAGCGGGGAGGTCACCGGCTCCAGGTTTCCCGAAGGGTGGAATGCCTCAGGCGAATGGATTGCATCCCGCAGCGTCAGTCAACAGGTTTTTGCTGCCGGCATCTGATTGCGAGTATACACTTAATGCTGTGAGTTGTTGGGGTTTATTTGCTTCTTAACGATATTGTATTATTGATTGATCATAATTTCTTGTTTTAAAAGTCGTTTGTTTCTTTTCCTTAGTTGTTAGACGAGCTGCAAACAGATCAATGGCCTGTGGAGGCTGGGAACAGAGCTCGGAGGTGCACTGGTGTTGCTTTGAGTGTTGCAGCTGGATTGCTGGGCGCATGCTTGCCTGGTACTGGGGCAAGAATAATAGCTTTGGTCGGAGGGCCGTGCACAGAGGGCCCTGGAATGGTAAAAGCATTTATACCATAGTATTTATTTTTAACATTTTATTCTCTTTCGTTGTGGATTAATGATGAATTAGACTATTATTCCATGTTTCATTAAAAAAAAAAAAACTAGTACAAGGTTCAAGATTCTATTGATTAGTGGTGGTATCTAAGGAATTGTTTGCTTAAATGCCACGAACCATTTGTTGATCGAATTCTCATGAGATATCGGTCGATGAGTTCAAGATTTTGTAAGATATTGTTTTTTAGCTAGGTAACTTTAATTTGGCTTGGGACTAGTTTCTTTCTAAATAAATTTGGCCTTTTTTTTTAAGTTTTATGCTTTTGACATGTTGATGCATGACTATTAGGTGTTATGCTTTCATAGTGCAATTATAATAATGTGATGTGTGTAAATTGCTCAAGGGAACTCAGAATTCTCATATCATAAACCATTAAATGATCCCACAACTTAACTTCTTTAATTGTGGACTGTGAATATGAGAATTAGAATCCAAACAATGATGTAATGATCAATAATTATAGTCGACACAATTAGAATTTCAATTGCATTGAATTTGAACAAAATTTAAACACTAACAAACCAATATCAAGTGATTTACATGAATTAAATTAAGATAATAGTAGCAACATTAATAATAAAAGTAAAGAAGAAATCTAGGCCTCATGTTAATAAAAAGGAGCCTGAGCTAATAATTAGGTAGCCGAGCTTGTGTCTTTCTTGAAAGAATAACACACAACATTCTCTCACAGGATTAAAATTCAAAGATGAAGCTATAATCAATCAAAAAAATCAGTAGATAGTAAAATTGAAAGAAGAAGAAGAACAACAAAAAGTTTAGTTTAGTTGGTTATAGATAATTTTATGATTCAACTTGATTATTGTAATACTTACTCAAAGCTCGACCTTGTTTTACTTTCCATTGAACAAAGCTCGTGTCCTATGAAGCTTATGCCAAAATAGCGCCATGCTAGTTGGAATCACGGCAAGAGTTAATAGCGAGAAAATTAAAAATTTTATACAAGCATTGTGTCAGAAATCACCAATTGGATAACTACCAAATATAGAATTCTTAAAATCCAGTATAGCACAATTCTCTCAAATAGTATCTTTCGAAGAGCCAATCAATTCTGTGTAACTCAAAACTCCTACACCATACAAGTGGCACAATTCAAGTAGCCCCACTGATATTTGAGTTAATTATTCCCGAATCTGAAGTAATACCGAATCTGGCATCATCTATGAACTAAGTAGTTGAACCGACACTAAACCATTTAGAACGACCTAGAAAATAAAACACACAACCCTTTCACAAGGCTATCATCATAGGCATGTCCTAAATACTGAAATTACGAAATAAATAAAATAAAATAACTAATGGAATCAAATAATCATACCTCATATCATTACTTGATACAAATCATTAGATGAGAATAAACATTTTAATTTTCATCACATTATGATGAAGAATCTGTCAATGTGGAGAAGGTTATAATTAACAAAATATTTTTGTGTTTATATGTTATGTGTCTATGTTAACATGCCATATCAAATGCGGTGAATGAATATGATAAGATGAATTTGAACGACTAGGGAGTTTTAGTTTTGATGTGGGTTGCTTTGAGAGTATCCAAATTTTGAAATCGCATTTTGGGAAAGTTATTTACTTCAAGTATGAAAATAGTATTTTTGAAGCTTTGTACTTATTATTATTATAGAAATTATAGGTGCTGTAATTTGGTGTTTATTATGATTACTGAAAACTTGTTGCTGGCTATGCTGTGTGGTAAATGACTCTTTTGTAAATAATCTTTTGATCTCCTGTAAGTTGGCTTGCCATAGAATTTGTCTTCTGGAAGTGGACCAGCCAAATAATTGTATGACTCGTGTAAGTATTTACCACAATATTTGGTTAAAAATCTATTTATAATATCCAAAACTTGATTTTGTTGATTTTGCTTTGCATAACTAGTTTTCAGTAAGCATATAATTCTCTTAGAAGTAAGCCAGCTTCATGCTAGATGACCGTTTTACTTTTGCCTTTTTGAGTACTTCAACACTTGTTACAGTTGTGGAATAGTTAGCACATGTATATACATAATACTAATAGTAATAATAAAATTATTTGTTTGTATGCATTAACTATGCGGGTATACATGTATATACATAATACTAATAGTATATGTTTGTATACATGTATATACATAATTGTTGTTTGTATACATGTATATACATAATTGTTGTTTGTATACATGTATATACATAATTGTTGTTTGTATACATGTATATACATAATACTAATAGTATATGTTTAGTGCTAGGGCGTCCCCTGGAAGCGACGCGCTGTATAGCCTGAATACAGTGAAAAGTGTGCAAGGGCCGCTACACCGGCGCCCGGGTGTAGTGTTAAATAAGCAAGGGTTCCCACATTACGGGCGAATGCGGGTAAAGAAGTTAGTCCATGAAACTAATGAAACTAATATTAGGATAGGATCTTGGAATATAGGCACTCTCAATGGTAAATTAATGGAATTAGTTGATATTATGATTCATAGGAAAATTAATATCTTATGTATTCAAGAAACTAAGTGGGTGGGAGAAAAGGCTAAGGAGATTGATAATTTAGGTTTTAAACTTTGGTATTCTGGTAAGAGTCGCACTAGAAATGGTGTAGGTGTAATTATAGATAAGAGTTTGAAAGATAATGTTGTAAAAATTAATAGAGTTGGTGATAGAATTATAGCCCTTAAGATTATCATTGATACTAAGATTTTTAATATTATAAGTGTTTATGCTCCTCAAGTAGGTTTAGATACAGAGTCTAAAGATAAATTTTGGAATGACTTAGAAGACTTAATACAAATGATACCTCTTGAAGAAAGAATTTTTATTGGAGGAGATTTAAATGGACATGTCGGTAGAGTGGTAGAAGATTTCAGAAATATTCATGGTGGCTACGGTTTTGGAGTAACTAATGAAGAAGGTAAAGTTATTTTAGATTTTGCTTTAGCGTTTGATTTTGTTATTACTAATACTTTATTCAAGAAAAGGGATGAACATCTTATTACTTATAAGAGTGGATCTAATAAAACACAAATTGATTATTTTCTTATGAGAAGAAGAGATCGTCATGATTGTAAAGATTGTAAAGTCATTCCAAGTGAAAATTTAAATACCCAACATCGTTTATTAGTTTTAGATTTTAAGATTAAGAGTTGTAAAATAAAAAATACTAGGACTCATCATTGCAGAATTAGATGGAGAAACTTAAAAGATAAAAATAAAATTAATTTTATGAGTAAAATTCAAGATTTCAAAATTTGGGATATTCATGAAGAAGCAAATGTGATGTGGGATAAAGTAACAAACGCTATTAAACATGTAGCAAAAGATGTTCTTGGAGAATCAAAGGGAAAAATATTTACAAATAAAAATAGTTGGTGGTGGAATAATAATGTGCAAGAAAAGAAAAAATATAAGAAGTTATGTTATAAAAATTGGTTAAAATGTAAAAGCT